TCCACTTGTTTATCTCTTCCTTTCTCTTCTCTTTGAACAAATTATGTATTCATACTTCTTTTGTTTGTTCGGAGGTGGCGGATATATTGTTGCTTTGACGCATAAACGAAAATTATCTTTACATAGTGACAGTGATTATTCAAATGTAAATCAGAATGAAAGAAAATAAGAACAAATAAAGAGAGTCTTTGATACCAATTTCTTTGTAAATTCAACTGGAAGCGCTACAGGACCATGCAGGAGTCTGACAATACATTGTGAGGCTGGGATTGATCACTATGATCAAAACAAGAACTGAAAACCAAAAAAAAATGGAAAAGGAAGTTCAATAAGAAATACAGCTAGTAGAAGGAATAGATTATTATCAGGGGATTTGACTTTGAGAAAGATGAAGATGTTCCACTCCAGGAAGAGAGTGGATAAGATGGGCACAGGAAGTGCAAGAGGCCTTGCAATGCATGATGTTTCTCAACAGGAATCACCAGGGAGTTTCTGCACATTTTCAAGGGGCTCATCAGCTTGATGATGTAATGAGGAGGAGAGTTTCTGGTTCTGTTGTTGAGAGCACGATTTGAGATGCTTGTTGCTCTGTTACTTGTACACTTGATCTTGAGGTGGGACATCCTGATGGGAAACTTGATGGAGATCACACTGTTGGATTTGAGTGGATGAGGTTGGAAAGCCCGGGAGAGACTTGTAGGAATCAATTGAATCTCAACAATCACAACCCTCAAGCTACACAGACTCCCTCAGCATAGTACACTACAACTCCATATTTACATACACACTCACTTACAAGTTACATCTACACATATTTCTTTTCACTTATATATATATATATTACATAATCCATGCATGTAGTCTAATCCATGCATGTAGTCTAACTGAGGGTATTTTCCTTGCATGATAGCTGCATATTACCCCATCACATCCACTAAACACCACCAAACCTGAACAATCAGAATCCTTCTTCAAACTGTTTGACTGACCACTTTTACTTTGTACATACATGGCTGACCAATCACATTCACTCATTCAACTTATGTATGTAGCTAAAATCACTCATGTCGTATCCCAGGCCAGCCAACATTGCTCATTATTGGCTGCCCTGGAGCTAAATTCCCTCATTTTTGTCTACATAAGGAGGCTCTCCTCTCAGTTTTCTTATCCCCATTTTAGTACCACTCAATCAAAGACATACCACCTTTACACAGCCTTAGAAACACTCATCAAAACTAAACTCATTCTCATCATCAGTACACAATCTTCACCCTCAACTTACCCTATTAGGTGATTAAAACTTGCCAAGCTGAGCTTGGTGGGTCTTGTTATCTGATACTATAGAATGGCAGAACTTGCACCTCCATCATCCCCTCAACAATGTAACTGATCCAATCCCCAGATCAGATTGAAATGAGCCCCAATACTGGGTATTGGGATTGGATCAATCTCCAATCCAATCCCAATTTATTGGAGAATTGGGATTTTGTAGAGTAATCTGATCCCAATAGCCGCTATTGGGGTTCATTTTGATCTGATCCCCAATGGCCCACAGATTTTGAGTATTGGATCAGATCAAATCTCTGTTTCAATCCAATCCCCTATTTTTTGATACCTGGTATCAAAAAATAGATCCAATCCGATAAATTGGCCAATACCATATTGGATTGTATTGGTTTCAGCGTTGAATTCCCCTTCTCCATTCAGAAAAAAGGTTCTTACAACAACTTTTTGAGTCTTACCCTGCTAACAGATAGCAGGTACCCCCCAACAGGTACCTGAGGCCATCTCTAGTTGTTCCAATGCTGAAACCAATAAAACGCATGTATCTGTATCTGTTTTTATCCCGATACATTGTATCTGTATTGTATTGGAAAAATTGGAAAACCAATACTAGGGGGTATCAAATAAGAAAATATTCAAAACTTAAAATACCAATTTCTCCTCAACCAATAACTTTTTTTTAAAAATGAGGTGTTACAATCAACATTCATGACATGAAACTCCACCTTTTCATCATAGTTTCATGAAAGGGGGTGAAACAGTTTAAGAGAAAATGAGGTTTTTAAGTTTTCATATTTTCCATATTCAATACCGGCCCCCTACTATACAAATTTATTGTAACTGGTCACCAATACAGCCCAATACAAAAACAACACAATACTATATTTTTGTATTTCCCAGTTGGGTTGTTGAATAAAGTCCAAATTGGCCAACAAATGTGTAGTAGTTTTTTGATAAAATACCTTTGTATTGTATTTGTATCAGATTTTAGATATAATACCCAATACCTTTTTTTGAGTATCTGAAGAAAAGATACAATAGGGGGTATCAAATATAGGAAATCCACCATCAGAAACCAGTCACTTTTTCAAAAACTTTTTTCTGCATAAATGGGCCCCAAAAGGGGTTCAATGGATAACCAACATGTTTAAAAAAAGTGTGGATTTTTTCAAACCAGTCAATTAAATAATGGTGGATTTGGTTATATTTGATACCCCCTAATGCACTGTATTGCAATACACCATCCAATTACCTATTCTTGTTAACACTCATAGCACAACCGTTAAGGTTAGTAGCATAGAGACTGACAACCAAGGGGGTAACCCAGGGGTTGGGGTGGCACTTGAGGGTCATCCTGGACCTAAAAGTACCCTGGGGAACCCTGAAGTCCCAGGACATGACATTTTGGTTCAGGGCACTGAATAATATCTGACTAGGCATTTCCTGGCAACAAATACACTCAAGCCCATAAGCATCAAAGAGAAATTTTGTGCCTCAGACTAGAGAATGGTACTAAGCATTCAAAAGCCCTCTCTGATTTTTTTTCTTTCTATAATCAGCCTCTAGACCCATTCCCCTGGGTTGTGCACTCCAATTTCATGTTTCTCTCCCCAATTCCCTGTTTTCTCTCTTCAATGTCCTGTTTCCTCTGTACAATATCATGTTTTTCTCTATTTTAATCATTTCTTTTGATTCAGCTGCCATTACAAATAGCCGGTGACCACTATAAACCAACGAAAAAAGTTAAAAACATAACCCCCCCCCAAAAAAAAGCCCTCAGATCTTGGAATCCCCTCTCAATAAAAAGACCAGGGCCCCAGGTTTCAGGGTGTCTAAAAGGCCCATTCTGATACCCTGAACCCTGGGTACACCCTTGAATTGTCAACTGGCGGAAGTACTTCTTGTGGTGGTTAATCAGCTAAATTGCTTGCTGTATGTAATTTAGTAAATACGTTACAGTCCTTAAATTGAAATTCAAAAAATGAATCAAGAAACATGATTCTCCACCTTGTTGGCAAAGTTAATTGGATTGATTAGGGCATGAGATCGGGTTTGAAAGCTGCCATGGGACTTGGAAGTAATCTAGTAGAATCATAATTATAATCATCCATTTTTTCAAAAATGAATTAAATGTAATTATGGAACCAAACGCTTGGTTCACTTGCCTACAAGAAAACTTATGTCACCTTGCCATCCGATCTCATTGCCCCCTTTCAAATTTGAACGCGTTGTTGGATTGGAGGGAGACGGACGCCGGACGCGGGAATGGCAGCGGAAAGTAGTCGGATGGAAACACTGCTCGTATCGATGACTTCGATTGCTAATGTCCATTGGTCCGGCCATCATCGCACGCATTCCAGGCGAAATGTTCTCAACAAGACCGGTTGCCCGGTTCGCAGAAGGAGGGCTTTGCTGCAAGTCAAACTGGTTCAACTTGAGGCATTTGAAGAGTTTTTCCTTGCAATGACTTAGTGCGTTGCCCTTGCTATATAATGAAGCGTGATTCGTCACCAACTCTCGGTGGACAAGTCAACGATCAAGAACCGTAAGTGGCACTCTGCACCAGTCGTCCAAAGCTGTTGGTTGACATTGGACTTGGTTTCTCTGCAACGCAAATTTCATTACTCTCATAGTAACATCTGGGGTGAGCCTCAGTTGAGCGGGGACTCTGAAATTCTATAAATAGCACTCTTGCTCCCCTGTTCGCTAAATCCACACCGAAAGTCGTATATACCCATCCACATCTTTCCATAGAAGATCCAAACGTAGTTGACCTGCGTTCATAGCTATAGTAAAACACTCAAACAGGCTCAATCCGACCCCATACAGTCTTCAAACCTCCCACATAAGACTCTCAGACCTGCCCGATACTCGATTTTTCAATATCTTACATCATGCATGCCCAGTTCGCAAAAATCTACCAAATCACCTTATTGGCTTGTTTGATGCAACTGATTGCCCAGTCCAGCGCATTTGATTGCACTGATACCGAAGCGTGTCTCGTGAAATCAAGAGATGGCAAGTCTTTCAAATGTAAGCTGAACAGAATCCAGACATAATTTTTATCATCACAATCATCATCATCAATGGAACGCTTCATCTGATCTTACTCCATGTCAAACTTGTATTTCCACAGTCTTTCTCCCCAGGTTGGTTTCAAAGACTGCCACTTGTACAAAAGCCGGCTCAACAGCGTCCTGTTGCCCGGGGAAGGACATCCCTGTAAGTTGATACATAAATGTTTATTTTCTGAACGTTTGAAATATTAATTTTTGCACCCATAACTTTCCCCTCTTTTTCATTCACTCCCTTGGCACCATTTTGCTTATCTTTCATTTCTTTTTTCCCTTTCTCCTCCTTTCATCACTTTGATTTGAAAAAAAAAAGACCAAAACTTTTACAACACTAGAGGAAGCACAGAAGGCTTGTCCAGCTGCCGGGGGCGCTGGGGGTACCACTACTGCAGCACCCGGCTCTACTGGGGGTACTACTAAAGCCGGTACTGCTGGGGGTACTAATACTAGACCCGGTACCACTGGTTCAACTGAAAAGGCGGCGGAGAAAGATAAAACGAAAACCGAAACCCCAAAGGCTCCTTAGTCAAGTACCGAAATTGAAGATCACCCCGTTATACCAAAGGAAAATTGCT